GCAAAACTAACTGCCTTTATGGTATGGCAGGGAAAGTAAGTTACAGGATTCAAGTTATACGAGGTAATACCAATTGAGATGATTATTTTTAAAAGACTAAATTGAAAATGTGTGTTTAGAAGTTAACCTGGATAGATATGTTTAAGAATCACTTCACTGTTGCCAATATCACAGATCAAATCCAGGCTACCTTGGAATAAAAGTGCCTGCCTAAATTCTAAGACACTCATAGGTTTCTGGCAAATAATCAACAGATTTTTGGCTAGCTCCAAAATGTATAATTCACATATCTTCAAGTTATCTGGATTCCTATGCCATTTTACATTCATCTGCCACATACACAGTGGAATTTTCCATCATCTCATTATAAATAACAGTACAATGTGATGAGCAGAGAGAAGAGTGAGAGATGGGAGAAATACAAATGACAGACTTGTTATTTTACCTGAAATAAAATATGCCAAAAACCTGTTTTCAGCATAGTCATAAATGAATTAGTACAGCATCTTAATGTGTGTTATCTAATTCAGTGACCACAAAAATCTTGTAAACAACATAACTCTCAGCAGGGTGAAGGGTGAGGAACCCTGGTAAATTATCCATCATTTTGTGGTTTATATCATCGATGTCTCTGTTAGCAAACAGGTATATTATGGAGCACATTTTACAAATACATTATCATAAAATGATTATGTAGTACTTTAATGGACTTTTTAAAAACTAAATTCTTCAATATATTCAAATTTCACAGTAACAAATAATCATGCTCTTAAATTTGTACTTATCTCAAATGTATTGCTGATCTTCCAACCCCCAATCACTTAATAGAAAGAGTTCAGACCTGACAGTTCCAATTACTGTATTTGTAAAAATTTTCTAGTATGATTCTTTACTCAGTTTCTTTCACTTCCCACATTTCTAGCAATAGACCTTGTGACATGTTCAAGACTGCACTCTACTGGTTATCCTTTGCCATCCATTAGTGCAAATGCTGGGAACATCTAATGTTTGGTTTGAGTTATTAGTGTCAACAGTGGATGAGTAAGACAACTGATAAAAGCAATTATCTGAATAACGCCAATAGTTCAAGCATCTTGAACAGATACATAGAGTTAGTGAGCAATTTAAGTGTTTTCTGAATTTAAATATTCAGTACTAGTAATATTTACATTACTTCTTGAATAATAGATAAACATATGCTTAAAACATGTTTTGGGTTAAGGTGACTACCACCAAAGGGCAGATTAGCCTTTATAATGATTATATAATAACTACTACTGGAAATATGTATACAAAAATGCTACATTAAAAAGTAACACAAAAAGTTGTATGAAAAAAGTAAAAATAAAAACAAAACTGGTTAAAAGAAAAACACAAAAAGGGTATGATAATGTAAATGTCACTGATTAAATCTATAAATATCCCAGTACATACATTAATGAAGACTACAAAAATTTAGAAAAATATAACTAAAATGTAATATTGTCAGGGTGCCCTCTCAGTCAGCCAGGCCCGGGCTCCGGATTTCCCTGGTGGTGGCCACCGAGTGATCCCCAGCAGACTCCCTATCCCCCCCAGGCAGGACCAGATAAGTTGCCCTCTGCGACATAAGCCGAAGAAGGATCCCCGAAGGTGGGTGAGTGCACCGCCTGCCTATTCAGCCCGCAAAGGGACACTCAGACGCGGCGGGGGTTCCGTCAAGCAGTTCCGTTTATTGTTTCTCAAACACTCATACATAATAGCCAAGCAAGCGGGAATTTCCACACACACAGCCAATCAGCAGCATGGTCATGCGTGCATGTACCTTACTTTTCTACATCTAACCTACTGATCATGCCCTGATCACCAGCGCAGAAAAGCATAACTACCAATAAAAAGTTTTCTGAAACTAGCAGTGACATTCCCCCTTTACTTCCTCTAGGTGCCATCTCATGTGGACCATGTGGCTGGGGAGCTTACACAGCTGCCATTTGGTGTGGCCTCCTTTCACCCTAGCAATTGCTATAGCAAGTGGAGCGGTGGCAGCCCAACATAATATTCCCTAAATTCCTTAATAAATAATTTTAAAAATACTTATAATGGCTTGGAGAAGTTATGGAAGAGGACAGATAAAATTTAAGGGGATCAAATATAAAATTATTTACTTGGAAAAGTAAATAAAGGAATTTCAGACAATTGAAAAAAAAAGTAGAAGTTAATACTTTAAAAGAAACTTATCTAGATGACTGCACTAGCCTCCTAATATGCCTTTCTGCAGCCAGTTGCCCTGCTGTGCCATGTTAATCCCCCATGGTACAACCCTTCTCAAGTAAAACCCTTCATTACCCTTAAAATGGCTCACAAGACCATTCATAACCTGGTTCCCATCTACTTCTCCCTGTATTTTTCATCTTTTCCCTTTGTTCCCCCACCCCCTACCACCATGCTCTGGCCATATAGAACTACAGAGCTCCTTTGGTTCATTGAACATGATAAACCATTCATGACATTTCTTTTTTTTTTTTTTTGTCCTTTTTGAGACCGGCCGCACTGCGCTCAGCCAGTGAGCGCTGTGAGCACACCTGTCATCCCTATATAGGATCCGAACCCGCGGCGGGAGCGGTGCTGGGCTCCCAGTGCCGCACTCTCCTGAGTGCGCCACGGGCTCGGCCCCATTCATGACATTTCTTTTTTTTTTTTTTTGTCCTTTTTGAGACCGGCCGCACTGCGCTCAGCCAGTGAGCGCTGTGAGCACACCTGTCATCCCTATATAGGATCCGAACCCGCGGCGGGAGCGGTGCTGGGCTCCCAGTGCCGCACTCTCCTGAGTGCGCCACGGGCTCGGCCCCATTCATGACATTTCTAATCCTTGAGTCTTGCACTTACCTTTTTTTCTCTGGGTCTGAAAGGCCTTCACACTCTTCTTGCCTAGCTTAAATTTTACATTCTCTAGAAAGCCATTAAACATTTAAACACATGCACATGCATGCACACGTACCTACACATGCTCAGATAATAGACTAATTTACTTAGTCTTGTATGCTCCGATAGCATTGTACTTTTGTTATAGTACTTCTCACCAGTCAATATCAAAGAAATGTTTGAACAAGAGGGGTAATTGAGGTGTACCATCAGAAATCTAAAGTTACACTGCTTGAAATTATTAAAATAAAACACATTTCCAAAGCTACTTTAGCTAGAGCAGATAGTAGTATGAGGGAGATAGGCCAGAAGAGTATATTGTTTGCTAAAGGAGGTATCTTAAATTTAGCAGACTGTATTGGTTAGCTCTCTGGGGAAAAAAATAGTTGTGGATCTTTTCCAGATAAATTTTAGGTGCATTCAAGAACTAAATGTAAGCAATTATATAAAAATTAAAACAAAATAGAAACTAGTTTTTATCAAACCTCTAGATCAGCATTGTTCAGTAAAATATAATGCAAGCCACATAAGTAATTTAAAAAATTTTAGCAGCCACATTAAAAAAGTAAAAACAGGCAAAATTAATTGTAATGTTTTATTTAATGCAGTATGTCCAGAATATTTTTAACAGGTAATCAGTATAAAATTATTAACGAGGCATTTTACATTGTTAGATGTTTTTGTACTAAGCCTTTGAAATCCTTTGTGTATTTCACAAAGACTAGCCACATTTCAAGTGCTTGATAGCCACTTGGCTAGTGACTCATTGGACAGCACAGCTGTAGATGAAGTTAAATACAGAAGCAATAGAAGATATCACAAAGGAAAAAATGGATAACATTGGCTACAGGAAAATAAAGAAAAAGGAAAAGACAAAATGAGAAAATATTTGCAACATAATATAGTACAATGTCATTATTTTTAATATACAAAAAATTTGTACAAACCACTGGGAACACTTAAAAACCCAAAAGATAAATGAGAAAGATGACATAAACAGGCAACTTGCAAAAGAGCTAGTAACAAACATAAAGATAATAATTAAAGAAGTACAAATTTATACAGTAGTAATATCCTACTTTTATCTGTCAAGGCAGCAAAGATTTTAAAACTAATTTCTAATGTTTCAGAGAATGTAGTCAAAGTGTGTTCTCATAGACTATCAGAGGGAACATGAAGTAGTAAAACCCTTTTAAAAGGCAGTTTAGCAACAGGCACCAGAACTTCATTTCTGGGAATCTACCATAAGGAAACAATATTAATTAAAGATAAGGGAAAAACTATGTACCAAAATACTCCCTTCAGCATTGTTCATAGTAATGGAAAAATTGAAAACTACCTAAATTCCTTATATTAAGAAGATGGTTAAGTAGTTTATGGTGTAGTCATTTGATGGAATACTTAGAGTAAAAACATGGAAGTTTTTTTTAATCAAACTAAAAATAATACAGAATTGAGTATCTTATATCTAGAATTTGTGGGGAGTTGGGGGAATCAATCCTGCAAAACAAGACTAAGAAATTTATCAGAATGTTAACAGTGTTTATCTTAAGGTAGAAGATCTTCAGATTTTTTTTCCAGTTTTCTAATTTTCTCTTTTTTTCAAATGTCATAAAATTAATATGTATTAACTTTGTAATGAAAAGAAAATACTTGAAATGGTGAGATTAATTTAACACATTCTCAGATATAACTTAAGACGTCATATTAATTAAAGTATGCTCAACTCGTGCTGTGTCAACTTATATTTTGTCTTTAGAAAAACACAGTACTTAGCAACTGATGAACTCACGTAGATGATCTAAATATTCTGTGGTTTGTCTCCATTTTTGTTTCAGAATGAACTTTACTGACTCATAAAAATTTGCTACTGTCATCTTTTTTTGTTCTCTTTACTTTTGGCTTAAGTCTAACCTCCTGAAAAGTGAAGTAATACTTTTTTAATAAATCCATATTATAAAATTGTAATCCCCATTTTGCTTTCCAGTTTCATACAGTTGAATAGCTCACATCTGCTCTCTTAATTGAACATTTAATATTTTTATGTACTGATTTGCTTTTTTTCTGTTTTGATTAACACTCCTTCCCCTCATTTTAAGGTTATTCTGGTACAAGTTAACCCAGGAGAAGCATTTACAATAAGAAGAGAAGATGGACAGTTCCAGTGCATTACAGGTAAGAATGGTAATCGATAATAATAGTTTAAGACAAAAATTTATGATACATAATAGTATCATACTATATGTATGATATAATATGTACTATAGTATTATATGTACTATTATATGTCTCTGTGTGTGCACGTGTGTATGTACCTGTATGATTATGGTTTCTTTTTTTCTTTCTCACTTCCACCACACATAAAAGCACAGATTCTTAATACATTATTGTTTAACTATTGCAGTAGCATTCTAACTAATCTTTTTGCCCTGGTTTCTTGATTAATCTCACTATAATATTATAGTGTTCATGTCAATTTCCTGCTCAGAAATCTTCAATGAATCTGTTCTAGATTCCTTACTCTTTCAAAAAGATCATTTCAACTTTCTAATCTTGTTCCAACTTCCCCTTCAATATTGCTTCCCTTCAGTATTTCTAATTGGCTTATTTACTCTCTTGAACCTGTTTTGTGATGTCTCTACTGTTTGCTTTATTTAGAATTCACTCTTACCACCACCACCACTCTCACCCCCAGCCTATCCAAATCCTATCAATGTTTCAAGATTGAGCTCAGGTCTTACCTTTAACAAGTTTTTTGTAAAGTCTTTCTTTAGTAAGTATCCCTTAGGGATGTTATTTTGCACTGGATAATTCTTTGCTGTGGGGGATGTTCTGTGAATTGTAGGATATTTAGCAGAATCCCTGGCCTCTACCCACTAGCCACTCCTCTCATTTGTGACAAACAGAAACGTCTCCAGACATCACCAAATATCCCCTAGGGAGCGAAATTACCCCTATTTGAGAACCACTGTTATATATATGAAAATGAGAGCAATAAAAAGGTCACTGGCTTTAGAATTAGAGAACCTAGGTTTATATCCCAACTCTGCCACTTACTAGCCATATGATCTTGCATATGTTACTTAACCTATGTAAGTACATTTCTCATCAGTGAAATTTCCATCTCCATCAATAATAGTACACTTCATAGGATAATTGTGAGGATTAACTAATATGCATGTAATGCACTCTGAACGCTGTGGGGTTATTGTTAATGTAAAGTAATCCCCGTCTCCTCTGAAATCCCATAATACCAATTGTTGTGCCATTCATTTGCCAAATAAGTATATGCTGTCTTGTAATAATTCTTCTAGTTATATTTTTTAAGTTATTTAAATTTTGTTTTACTTGAAATGTTTATTCAGTCTCTCCAACTAAAGTCTAAGCACTTTGAGGACAGACTACATTTCTTTGTTTCCACTTCAGTTCTTTACCTTCTGTATATTGGGTATTGCCTTGGGTTGCTTGAATTTTGTACCCCAAAGTCCACATATTAGAAACTTAATTTCCACTGTTAATTGTTGAGGGTGGGAAATCCTATTATGGTAATTGAAAAGTGGGGCCTTAGAGGTGATAAGATTGGGGAACCATTCTGTAATGAATGGATTAATAATGGTGGTCAGGGGCGTAGTTTGGAGGGCTTTAAAAGGAGAGTGAATGAAGAGGTTAGTCTCCTCTGCTCCACCATTTTCGTAATGTGATACTCTGCTGTCACTGTCACTACCACCAAGGCTCTCACCTGATGTGTTGCCTGGACTTTGGACTTCCCAGCCTCAGAAACTGTGAGCAATAAATTTTGTTTTCTTTATAAATCACCCAGTTCCAGATATTTTGCTATAAGCAACAGAAGTGGATTAGCACAGAAAATTGGTACCAGAGAAGTGGGGTGTTGCTTATAAGAAATACTTGAAAATGTGGAAATGGCTTTGAAACTGGGTGTAAAGGAAAGGCTGGAGGAATATGGAGGAACAGGCTAGAAAAAGCCTAGATACTGGTGAAAGTTTAGAAGACAAGAAAACCAGGGAAAGTTTGGAATGTTTTAGAAACTGATTGAATAGTGGTGAGCAGAATGTTGATATAAACATAGACAGTAAAGGCCATTCTGAGAAGATCTCAAATATAAATGAGAAGGAGCTTTTTAGAAACTGGGACAAAACTGACCCTTGCTATGAACTAGCAAGAAACTTGGCTGCATTGTGTCCATGCCATAGGACTTTGTGGAAGGTGAAATTTAAGAGTTGTGAACCAGAGTATTTGGCGGAAGAAATTTCTAAGCAGCAAAGCATTTAGAAAGCTGCATGGCTACTTGCAATAGCCCATGCTGAGTTATGACAGAAAAGTCATGATGTAAAGCCAGAAAAGCAAAGCAGAGCGTAACAATTTGGAAAATTTGCAGCCTGGACATGTGGTAGATAAGCAGAGAGCATTTTCAGAAAAAAAATGTAATGGTGCCAGGAAAATTAGTACAAAAGAAAAGGATTATCAAGAGAAAGGGGAAAAGGCCCTGAAGGCATTGCAGAAGCCTCAGGGTCCAACCCTTCCATTTCAGGCCCAAAGGCCTAGGGAGACAAAATCGTCTTGGGGAACAAGCCTGAGGCACCCTCCATGGGCTCACTGCCCAGGACCATCTTGAGGTGCTGCTTCCCACACCCCTGCTGCTCTAGCCTTGGCTAAATTAGCCCCAGGTATGGCTGGACCCACAGCTTCGAAAGATAGTCTGGAAGCCTTGGTGTTAGTTCTGCAGGCTCTGCAGAATGCCTAGCTGTGAAGGTTTGGGAGTCTCCACCCCAATTTCAAAGGCTGTATGGAAAAGTCTGGGGGCCCAGGAAGAGACCTGTCACAGGGGCAGAGTCACTGCAGACAGCCTTCACTAGAGCAATGCCAAGTGGAAACTCTGGGGTTGGAGTCGCAGCAGAGAAATCCCACCAGAGTCATGCCTACTGGAGCTGTAGGAGCAGGACCGCCATAGAGACCCCAGACCTGTGGAGCTACCAGAGTGGAACACCAGTGTGTGACAGCTGAAGTGTGGCCTGAGACCAGGAAAGCCATAGGAGCAGAGCTGCCTGAGGACTTGGGGGCCCAACCCTCACACTACTGTGCAGAGGACACTGAACATGGAGTTGAGGTACATGTTTCACCAGCTTTGAGATCTGATGCCTGCCCTGCTGGGTTTCGGACTTGTTTCAGACCTGTTACCCCTTTCTTTTGGCCTATTTCTCCCTTTTCCAATGGGACTATGTGCCCTATGCTTTTCGCACCGTTGTGTCTTGGAAGTAGATAACTTGTTTTGACTTAACAGATGGGAGTTTGAGACTTTGGACTTTTTGAGCTGAAACAAGTTAAGACTTTGGAGATGAAATTAATGTATTTGTATGTGAAAAGGACATGAGCTTTGGCAGCGGGGGTGGGGAGGCAGAGGCATAATGCCTTGAGTTGAATGTCCCCCCCAAACTTAATCCCCACTGTAACTGTTGAGGGTGGTAAATCCTATTATGGTAACTGAAAGGTGGGTCCTCGAAGAGGTGATTAGATTATAGGGCCATGCTGTAATGAACAGATTAATAATGGTGGTCAGAGGTGTGGTTTGGAGGGCTTTAAAAGGAGAGTGAATGAAGAGGTTAGACTCTCTGCACCACCATTTTCACAATGTGATACTCTGCTGTCACTGTCACCACCACCAATGCTCTCACCAGATGTATTCCCTGGACTTTGGACTTCCCAGTCTCAGAACTGTAAACAGTAAATTTTACTTTCTTTATAAATCACCCAGTTTCAAGTATTCTATTATGAGCAACAGAAACAGACTAATACAGGTATCTAATAGTTGTTGCTTTAATTTAAAAAGAGTTTGTTAGAGGTAGGGTGATCATCATCCAAACTGAGATATCTTTGAAAGTGAAAGGACCCCAGCAGTTACTCCAAGACAATTGGTATGAAACAAGACTGTCCTCTCTTCCCCCATTTTACCTAAGCTGTCTAATCTATTTAATTAAAGAAGAGATAGACCTTTAGCCTGCCATTTAAACCCTATATGAGGGTACTTCAAAAAGTTCAAAAACAGAATTGAAAGATAATACGAATCTTTCCATGAACTTTTTGAAGTACCTTCGTATGTTTTGGAGTTAGAAATTTATCTAAGTTAATTTAAATCATTTGTATAGCAGTTAAGGTAACTTCACAAATAGGAAGAGTCCACATATTCTGGGCTTAAAAGAAACCAGGCAGCAGAATTTATAAGCAATATAGGAAACCTTGCATATCTTTAGTTACCAATTAGGTTTTCATGGAAATAATTTCATTTTTATACTATATTCCTCATAGAATGTTAAGTTTCTAATAGAGCACACATCTTAGATTTATTTGTACATCTTTTTTCAAATTGTTTTCAATAAATATTGTTTATATTGGAAACATTTTAATTAATATAGCATTGGTCTTTCCAAACACATTTATAGATGAAGAAACTCATTACTGTTTTAGTGTGACTTAAAATACGAAAACTGCTCATCATGGTTGCATAACTAGACACTGAATTATAAATAGTTTATATTTCAAAAGTTAATTTGTAACTGTAATCTGTTAAAAAAAATTAAAAACTTCATAAATCAATTAAATTGATTTTATATGTGGCAATAACCACTTTGGTCAGAACCAGAAGGGCGTATCTAACTTATAATGTGCCTGTAATACTAACAGTATCCTAGTAGTAAGAACCAAAAACTGTGTGGAGATATTTTTAGACAGGGACACATTTCTCTGCTTCAGTGGAAAACAGAGACTTCTTTTTCTGTATGGCAGATAGTAGGAGTGGAGACTTTGTTTTAAAATTACCAGGCCAAATACAATCCAGCAATTCCACTGCTGAGTATATACCCAAGGGAATGGAAATCATCATGTAGAAGGGATACCTGCACTCCTTTGTTTATCGCAGCTCTATTTGCAATAGTCAAGAGTTGGAACCAACCCAAATGTCCATTGACAGACAACTGGATAAGGAAAATGTGTGTATATATACACAATGGAATACCACCCTGCCATAAAAAAAGAATGAAATTCTGCCATTTGCAGCAACATGGATGAACTTGGAGAAAATTATGTTAAGTAAAATAAGCCAGGCACAGAAAGATAAATACTGCATGTCCTCACTCATAAGTGGGAGCTAAAAAAATAAACAA